CCTATTATGTGCTGAGCACTTTTCAAGAAACTGGAGATCCAGTGAAAAGAACACATAGGGTCCCTGACCTTGTGGAACTTAAATGCTAAAAGGGAAGAAGACCAACCAACAATGATCAAATAAGCAAACAAGTGAAGTGAAACACCACCCAAGTAAATAACTTTACAATATTCCTAAAAATCACACAGGAGTTGGATGCAGAGACCTACCTGGGCTCATGTTTCCTCACGCTAATATTGTGTTCTATTAAACCACAATGCCAAGATTTCAGAAACAAAGAAAAGAAATCCAAGAGAAAATGCAGATCAGAGAGAAGGCTCACAAAGAGAAAAGGTGTATAATGCTTTGAGGGGAGGTAGTTCCTGGGCACATTCTTTAATTTAGCAATGCCTATTCTGTCTGTAATTATTGCTTGGGTAAAATAAGCCATCTATTGAAAACTAAAAGTAGCTGAAAATCTGATGATAATGGAAACTAGAACAGAACAGACACATAAATCCTCTGCTCTTTCCACAGCTCCCAATTCCATGCATATACTCTGTTCATTCTGGAACATTTTCCCAAGTTCCTACAGAAAAATCAATTCCTCCAAGGGACAAGCAATTCTCTTTATTGTTGATGCTGAATGGGTCTATCAGGGCACAGGTATTCCCCCATGCTCCCTTCTGTTCAACATTAAAGAAGAAACACAGCATTGCTTTAACCACAGGTTATAATTACTACAAGGGAGGAGCTGAGGCTAATATGTAAGGCTCCTTTCCCCACTGGGTCTCTGATTTTTGGGCAAGTCTTTAAAATATCTTCAATGGAGAATGACCAACCATACCAAAATTTAAATACATTTTTAAATAGACTTCATGTCTCTCCCATGTCAAGGGAAGTCTATACTAATAATAGAGAAATATGCAAATTGTCCAGGATGCCATCACAGTAAAACCGAACAGCAAACTACATGGGGTGAAAAGGCTGATAGGAGGGTTAGTGAGGGGCGACCAAACAACTGAACAGCAGGCTGTGTGGGGAGACCAGGCCAGCAGGGGAGTTAGTGAGGGATGACCAAATGACTGAACAGCAGGTTGCATGGGGTGACCAGGCCAGGAGGGGGGGCAGTTGGGAATGACCAGGCCAGGGGGTGGGGAGAGTTGTTGGGGGCAACCAGGCTGGCGGGCAGGAGGGGCAGTTAGGGGCAACCAGGCTGGCAAGGGTGCAGGAGAGAGTTAGGGGCAATCAGGCAGGCAGGTAAGCAAGTTAGGAGCCAACCCTGGGATTGGGCCTAAAAAGGCAATCAGAGATCTGAGTGGTCCCGGATTGAAGAGGGTGCAGGCTGGGCTGAGGGGACGCACCCCCAATGCACTAATTTCATGCACCAGGCCTCTACTTGAATATATATAACTGCAACAGGTGTTTACCCATTTGCTAATCCCCAAAACAAAGGACTGAGGTTAAGTTACATACTCTGCTATGACAACAAAAATACTTAATTCAACTATTCTTCAGTTTCTAGTTTACATCAATTAATCTGGATTTTTTTTAAAAAGAGAAAGGTTTCCCAAATGATAGCACATATTTCACTTTTTCTTTTCATATGCTTTCTTAATCCTTGGGTCTACATGAAGTTTTTCCTGTAATATTTGAAAAATGTCTCATAAATTATTATGGAAAGATGGAAAATAAAACTCAAGGCATCTGCTTAAGAAATTTTTATATATAAATTATTCAGTGTTAAAAATGAAGTTAAAAATTGAGAGGGACCAGTATACAATGAAAGGAAAAAGTTGCTTCATACTGAATGATGTCAGTATGTATTTAGAAAGGCAAACTGCCAGTTTCATTGAAATTGTTCTAACAGTCTTCTTCACTATAATAGCTACTACTTATTGAATGCCCACTCGTTATGTGAGGTGTGGACTACATTTTCTCTTAATTCTTACCTCTACCAGATCATGTAGGTATTCACGTATGCAGTGAAAGAATTTGTATCAGTTACATGGAAGTAACTTTGGTGGAATTTGAAAGCAGGCCTCTTCAGTTAATGTCCATGTTCTTCCCAACTACAGTAATCACCCTGTTTTCTCCCATAGTTTCAACCCTAATCACACTCACAAATGTTTGTACATATGGAAATGTTGATGAGTGTGACAAGACTGACTGTCTTCTTCCTTAAATCCACTTTCTCATAGTTAAAAGAAAATGTATTCTATATTTTTTCTTAAGCTGGAAAGATCAGTTTTTTTTTTTTCCTCAAACCTTTCCCAGCATTCTACCAAAAAGCACAAAACACACTTACACTAAATACATAAAAGCCTACTATGTCAGACTGCTGAGTTGAAATGACAAGATTCCACTATTCTCCTACCCTAGGTCCACACTATCTTTCAGGTCCATGGGTTTAGTCCTTCTCAACCTAAGAAAACAAAGATTATGTTAACGGCACCTCAGAGCAGACCACAGCTGTCTGTCTCCTCAACTCCTGGTGTTTCTCTTACTGTAAGAAAAAGTCTGCACATTATTGACATTTGTCTTTTGTCAAATTTATTTGATCAAATTTATGAATTTATCTTGAAAGCCGTTTCAGCTAGTTAATTATGTAACGCATTGATTTTCCCCCCCATTGACTCACAGTTCAGAGTCAATGTTACTAATGTAACATTTTTAATCATTCACTTGCCTCTCTCTTCAACCCTATATAATAAATGCCTAATATGCAAATTATCCCTTCAACCAGCAGCTCGCTGGGAGTTTGACCATTTGCTCTGATGTGCACTGACCACTAGGGGATGGCACAGAAAATGGCAGGTATTTGCCCCACAGTGAAGGCCCTGATGGGCCCCTATGAGAGTGGGACCAAGGCAGGATGGTGGAGCAGGTGAGTGGGCAGTACCAGGCCAAAGCAAGTGGAAGCCACTGATTACCAAGTGGGGGCTGATGGCCCTGCTGATCTGATCACCCCTCTGCTGCCAGGTTCCCGGGCACTGAGAAAGCTGGGCAGGGGCCCAACACCCCAGGGATTCAATCGCAAGGTGACCAGCAGCTGCAGTGGGGGTGGGGCTGCTGCCCTGCTTGCTCAGCACCTGGGAGCCAGGAGGTGGCAGAGTGATAGGCAGATTGATTGGGCCCTGCAGGTAGCGACCAGTGGCAGCTGAGTAGCTGGGGGGTGAGGGGGAGGTGGCCGGGAAAGGGAGGGAGTACCCGGCTAGCAGCTGGGAGCCACTAGAGACCCTATCAGTGCACGAATTTTGTACACTCGGCCGCTCGTTCTCTAATAATAATGGTTGATCTTACACACGAGAGGCTGGTATTAGTCCTGGAGAAAGATTCATGAGTAGGCACACACCACACACCTACACTCACACTGTCAGAAAGTAATGTAACCGAAAGCAAATACATCCATCAAGGCAGGCTCTGCTGCTGACTTTAAGATCACATCAGAGTGGGAAATAGGTTGGTAAAATCAGAAATGTGTGGTTTGCAATTTTGGTTCCACTCTGAGCCTCAGCTTCCTTATATGTAAATCACAGTAACACCACTGTCAAGAAAAAGTACACTGTGGCTTCTCTCTACCAGAATGTTTAACTTTTAACTAGTATTCCATAAATGGGCCTTTAACATAAAAGGAGGTGTTTTTCTGCCATCTCAATGGTGAGAAAGAACTGTACTATGTTCAATGGAACGAAACACTTCCTCAAAATAAATGAGGAGCCATAATGGCATCCTGCATTCCTTGTTCTTTTCTGTTAATTGACTGGCAATGTGGATGTGATCCATCATCATATGTCCTGCTGGAAGAGGCTGCTCTGCATCCTTTTCTCCCTCCAGTGACTTATTTACAAAGACTTGTATAAAACAAGCCATTTATTTAAAACAGGGGAAGGACTAGCCAACATTCTGGTGACTCAAAACAAAACAAAACAAAGAAAGATGCCAAATTGGCTCACGTGAAAGTAAGGATGGAAAAAATGATATTTTAGTGGCTGCACTATGACTTAGATGGTAAAGAAATGGGTAAGTTTTATATCAGAGAAGGGTAAAATTGCTTTGATCCCTGCTTGCACAATTTTCCTATTCTAGCTGCCATTTTTTTATCCTAGCAAATCATTAAAAACTTAAAATGACAGATTTTTTAAAAACACTGTAAAAACAGAGAATGAATAGAAAGAAAAAAATTTGGAGGAATATAATCCAAAAAATGCTAACACGATGATTATTATCTTGTGTGGGTAGTAAAATTACAAATATTTTTTATTCTTTTCTGACTTTTTTTTCAATAAGTATAAAATGTTCTTACAAGAAGGGAAAAGAAAAAAGAACAAAAGAGGCAAAGGAGAAAAACAGTTGGTTAGGAATTTGGAAAGGAAGATGTGCAGGGACAAAGGGAGACATTCATATTGTGCTGAGCCTAGGACCAAAGTTAAAGTATTATATATATAGATATCCACATTTCAAGCTCACACATGTGTATTGCAGTTAAATTTTTAAAACCTTATCCTGGTATAGGATTATAACTTTTTCCTTTAACAATATTTTAACCTTTCAATATACCTTTTGCTTTTTAAATTTCTATTGGCTATTTTATTTAAAAGAAAAACAAAATTTTAGAGAAATGTAAGTACAGCCAAGTTCTCACATCACCTTTAGTAATTCACCAAGCCCAGGATGTGCCGCACTGTGGAGAAATGAGACTATACTAACAATGTTTTCTTTGATATTTTTACTGATTAGTCTCAAATTCAACAGACCCTATGAAGAAATCACAATCAATGGTCAAGCGTGAAACCCATCTTGGCCAAGGGCAGCCTAGCAGCCCAGCTGTGTTTTCCTCCCTCTAACTCTGTCCTGTTAAGCAGCGAGACTCTGGAAGGGCTACCTGGTACCACAAAAATGACAACTCTGGCATCATTCTAACTGAATTAATCTTGGAACACGTTTTCAAAACTACACATGTATTCTCTTGGCACAATGACAATGCCCACAGAGAGTGGAGAAGTCCATCAACTGGTTACCTGTGAGATATAACCTGGAGGCACATGGATAGGAGGAATGGATCCATTGGGTGACATCATCGGAACTTCAGCAGGTCCTAAAAGAAGCAAGAGCAAGATATTAACAGTTGAAGAAACATAATAGTACTCAAAATAATCATCGGTATTTTAAAAATATCATCAAAACTAAAGAGAATTAATCACTTTGCTATTTTCTCTTCAATAATTGGTACACTGTGCCTTAGACATGAAATTATGGATGAAAAGGAATTCTCCAGGTGTATAAGTCAAGGGGGAGAGGAAGCAAAACTATGAGCATTTTTAATAAATATTTAATGATTCCCAAATCCTCAACGCTGCTTAGTTAAGAGTAGTTTAACAAAGCGGGGCAAAAAGTTCCTTTTTATTGTCTTTAAAAGAATGTATCAATAACATCCAAAATACAAAATTCATTTGTATTAAACAAATAAATTTTAAATGAGCTTATCGCTTCTGATTTAAAAAGTCCCAATGGATGTAGGTTCATAATTTTTACTTCAAATTATTATATTCAATAAGTTATTGTAACATGACATTAATTTTCAAAAACAGTTCAAGGTAACTGAGTTTGGTATGCCTTTTATGTTATAAGGCAGAGAGGGGAAAAATATCACATTTTAAAACTAGGCACTATTAGAAATACTCATGACAAATTTATTTAAGGTTGTTTCAAAGCAAAACATTCAAATAACAAGAGGTTAGTTTCAAATTTATCAAAAGTTAATTACAGGTCTACTACAAACAATGATCAGCAAGGTAAGACTCACCTAAAATACAATTTGAGTTAATATTTAATTACAAAGAAACCATAACATTTGTCATAACATCAAAATGACTTCTAACACCCTACCAAAGGTCCTGTGATTACACTGTTCCCCTAGATGTGCAGGGTTTTCATGTTGGTAGCTGGCTCCCTTATTTAACACCCACCATCCAAATCCCAATCTAAACTGTAGGGCTTTAAAAATTAAATTTACTTGGGTGACATTGGTTAATACAATTAGTTAGGTTTCAAGTGTACATTTCCACGATACATGATCTATATGCTGCATTGTGTGCCCAGCACCCAAATCATCTTCTATCACCATGTTTACTTTCCCTCCCCCACCTCTCTCCCACATGTTTATAGTCTGAGATGCGACTTCCTGGCTCCAAGTGCCCTGTATTGTTTATTTTCTCTTTCCCAATGAGTGTTGTGCTGCTGGCAATGAAAATTGCTGAACTGTAACAAAAACCAAGAAAAATACAACACTTTTCTTGGCAAAAGAAAATAGACCCTGCCACCCAATGCTGCATTTAGATGTAAGCAATAATGCACCCCTCACTGCACAGACAACTCAATTCTCTAACTACTTCACAGGAGAGGACCAGATGGGGATATATGGAAGGGTAGGGATGTTGGGGTACCCATCCATAGTTCTACAAGTAGAGGGGGGGAAACATAGGAGTAGGGCAGAAAAGCTGCTGATATTCATGTAACACACCATCTGACCAGAGTTCACATGGCAACCTCATAGACAACACACGGAAGCACTAAACTATGTGATAATCCCTCAACACATATAAAGCCAAAGTGGCCTCTCTCAGGTTAACAAATTGATGCTCACTTAAAACAAAAGACAATGTCATAAATGTATGAGCCTATTCTATCTTAAAGTATAATTTCAATTAATACATATACTAATCACTGTAGGTACTTTCCAAGTCTATCTTTCTCATCAGCTTTAGCATTTCTGCCATAATCATCATGACATTTCGGTATCTACAAAATATTTTTATTTGGATTGTCTCACTTAAGAATCACAGACAACTATTACAGCCTTAGCCTGAGCAGTATCTATGAAATCCAAGGGTCTCTGCCTGGTTACATTCCCAGCTCACTAGTCACACTGGTTATATGACCTTGAACAATTCACTTTTGGAGCCTCACTGTTCAACAGGTATAAATGAGAAGAACAACTCCTACCTGATACGGTTGGGTTTAACGATTAAATTCAATAATGTGTGCAAAAACACTTAGTAGTACATAGCACAAAAATCACTCATCAAAATGTTAGCGATCTTTACAACATGTTTAAATTTTTTATTTATGTTTTTATTGCTCAGATTTATTTGTTTGTTAACATTATAAGTACTGATTTATTTTAACTGTCCTTATAAACACATAAAATCAACAACTATACACTTTGTACAATATTGCCTTAAGAGGCTAATCTTCATAAAACAAATATCAAATACTTCACAGCACAGATGTGAACAGAAATGCTACCACCTCAGTATTGTTTTTTTAATCACTAAAATGTATACCAGGCACAGTCTCTTAACCCAAGACATGACCCCTAAATCTGTTAAAGTCATTTGTGTAAAATACTTTAAAGAATGTAGGACAAGTGAGTGATTTACAGCCAAAAAATATTTTCTTCCCAGTCTTGATTTCAAAGTAGCCAAATGACTTTAACATGCTTGACCACCCCCTTTCTCTTGTCACTGTCATCAAACCCTTGCAAAGGGCACTGCAAAACATACAGTAATGACTTCCGAAACTCAACTGTGCCTTGGAACCCCAAGGTTGTTTTTTGTTCTGAAATAAAGTAAACCATTGCATTCACAGGCCTTCTGGAGTTTAAAAGCTAGCAATGAATGAATGAATGACAATGGTATACAAAAAGTTATTGTCTCTCAACACTTGTTTCTCTTCAATTGGTGAGTTACTGCCTCTGCAACTCTGTGTCCAAGAACTTCTGGTATTATTTAATCCTTACCTAATTAAAATACAAACTTCTCTCCCTTAACTTCTAGGAATACTAAGTTCCTTTTAATTTTTTAAATTATTTTTATTTTTTAACAAATAATAAATCTTTATTGTTCAGATTATTACAATTGTTTCTCTCTTCCCCCTGACCCCCCCCATAGCTCTGCTCCTCCAGGTTCCCACCCCATCCTCTGCCCTTACCTCCCCACACTCTCCTCATCCATAAGTGTACAAGATTTTGTCCAATATCTTCCCATAACCCCCATACGGACACCCCTTTCCCCCTGAGAATTATCAATCCACATTTTTAAAATTGATATCCTCATGATACATAGGACTTAAAATCATATAGCCCTTAGAATATGGTGAAAATGGTTCTCTCTTTATTCAACCCCACCAACACTGGCTATATTTGGGATGAAGGATAACTTGGGGGGTGGGGTGTCATCACACAATATTTTCAAACAAATCAACTTCTTCTGACTATACTGGGAAATCACTGAACTATTAAACTTTTTAAAAATAATTTTTAAATCTCTTCAGGTATCTGGAACCTCCTTTAATTAAACACTCTCGTTATATACAGGCAGGTATGTACATATAATTAAATAATTTGAAAATGAAAGTAAGCATACACTTCCAAAATACTGTGTGATATTTTTTGAGAAGCTAATTCAGATGTTCAGCTAGAGACTACATGAACTCTTCCATAGACAGATGAAAAATATCACAATCACAGTTTCTAGAACTGAAACTAAAGTGTTTGCTAAGAGCCAAGTAACTCCATGAAAAAAAACAAGTCTCGGGAATTTTGATCAATTTCAGGTTTTAGGCTGTGACTTCAACAGATAAGAATTCTTTTTGCACTGAACAAGATGTTAGACACAGACAAGCACTACGATTGGTTTATAGTCATTAAAAACTTAACTGTGATACACATGGTATAACATCTTCAAAGTCTGCTAGAATTTGTTAATGAATTGATACTTAATTCACTTATAGCATAATCATTCAATCAACAGTAATTCATGCAATTATCATATGACTAATTTCCACATCAAAGAGACTGAAGGTCAGTCCAGCAAATGGTATTTTAGGACCACACATGCACATGAAGAGTCCCCAAGACCCTGTAAAGACTGTGAGGCCCCTCTTCTTCCTTCTGTGCTTCTTCCCTGCTGCCAGGAATTCCCCCAGAGTTCATACATTTATATAGCCCTTGCTCTGATGCTATATTCAGAATATTCACCAGGGGTAACTAGATTGGAGGTGAATGTACAAATGAGGTTTAGAAATCTGAAAGTGGTGATAATTGAGAATTCAGGGTATAAATTATCACCTAAACTAGCCTCAGAAATAGCTATAAATAAATAATTATACCACAATTTCAGACATGTTTAAATGGCATTTTTTATAAGGTAAGTATTCACCAATAGGTGAACAAGTCATGAATAAATGGAAATGTATTTCTGTACCTGTGTATAAACTGGGACTTTTGTGTTCAATATTATTCTCAACAACAGCCCTTGGTAGCAAGAGGTCACATTCTTATCCGATTAATTTAAATACCATGTTTACAAAGGACATAAAGGAACTGAGAGCACTAATGGGCAAAATAATGATGTGATAAAATCCAATAAAACCTATAAAAGTGACCCTCAAGTCTGTCTAAATAGCCAAAGAAGATAGATTCTTGCTGGCAGTAGTCATAAGGTAAGGCCACAGCTAGTAGGTAAGTAAATAATTATGGCAAAAGTAATTATCAGGACAAAAGATCTGAATAAAAGTGCACTTGTGCTGTTTGGCAATGGTCTAAGTCTGAATATAAAAGTAAGGTCTTCTGATCAATCCCGTGACTGTCTAATAATGAATCTCCAATTATGGTGACTCAAGGCACACAGCTAAGCCAAAAGATGATGTAAGCACTTTGGAAACACTGATTTTTTAAATTATTTAATACTAACTAATCCCACAAAAGAAGTAAAAGGAATACAAAGTAATAAAGAACAGGTCCCAACCTCAAAGAATCTTAAACTCCTAGTGCAGTGGTTCTTAAACTTCACAGTGCATCAGCTTTAGCCAGAGGATTTCTTAAAATCCAGATTGCTGCGTTCCCCTTCCCACAGTTTTAGGACCAGAGGGCCTGGGATGAGTTCCCAGAGTTAGCATTTCTAAGAAGTTCTCAGGAGATATAGCTGCTGCTCTTCAGGGGACACATTTCTGATAGCCCCTTAGGTAGTGATTTTCAAACTTTTTCAACTCATGGCACACAAAAACTAATTACTAAAATTCTGCAACACACCAAAA